ATACCTTCGGACGCGCGCTTGAAATTGGAGCCACAAACCCATCCCGGTGTCGAGGTCAAGGAAATCTTGCTTTCTCGCAGAAAGGAACTTAGAATCGAGGATGCTTTTCCAAGAGCAGAGGAATTGATCAGTATAGCCCTCGGAGCGTGGGGAAAAGGAGAAATTACCGTGGAGCTTGTTCCGTCTGGGTCACTTGGCCCAGGCATTCACGCGCTTAGCTGCAGCACAACGACACACCTCAGCATTGCCATTGGTGTTGGACGTGGACTAGATCAGCGCATTGATGTCAGTGCCAATTGCCAAGTCATTGCTGAAACATTGCTTCACGCCGTCGCGGAATCAATGCTGCGCATCCCCCACGAGTATGCTATTCTAGCCGAGTCTCTCGTCACCGCCGGTGTGACTGAAACTATGGCTCGCCAGCTGCGAGCGGAATCTAACACCGCGGTCGTTATTCGCTGGGCGAAGAAGGAACTGCTCAAACACCTGTGCCTTGGCTTCGAATGTGATGCTCATTGGGAAAAGCTTCCCAAGGACATCAGGAACTCTCTCTTGAACCGTTGCCTTGGTCAGCCTTGTCAGCTGTCAAGCGAGGATCGGATATGGCTCGAAGGCCGCCTCTGCCAATTCGACACGGATGATCTTGATGTCCATGTGGCGCGCTGCAATCTTGGTGCTGCTACCGCTGTCAGCATTCTTGATTATGCACACTATGGCACAGGCGAGGCTGTTGTGTTTCGGGATTCAGAGACTCCAGACTACATCCCTTATGTCTCCAGGAAGCTTCCTGCAATCATCCATCTTTGTGCAAAACCATGGCACTCGTTCTACTATTCATTGGCATCAACGATCAAGTTTATCGTTGTTGCTCTCATCGCCGACCCTGAATTCCAGAGAGAATTCGATCATGTCATGAGTCAACGCCATGCTATCATTCGTGTACCAGCCACCCTGGCCTTGAGCTTGATATGGTCGTATTCGAGGATCGTGCAGAATCTAGGCCTCTCATTCTTTCTGTTCCACGGTCGCAGTAATGTGAAACAGCTCTGGGATGAAACCAAAGGAATGACTATTAGCATCAAGAAGAGCCGCTTTGTCATTCAGAGCTTGGACGGAACATTCTCTGCTTTCAAGCACGATGAAGCTGATGGAGGTTTCAAGATCTACTACTACGCGGGACAGCACAAGGCCGAACCGGAAGGCACGAAAAGTCTCAGCTACGTCTGCGTATATTCCAAGGATATGTTGCTCATGGTGAGACAAGAGTTCAAAGCTGGAAAGGTGATTAACGAGTATCATTATGACTACCGTGCCCCATCCAAGAAGGGATTCTCCTTGTCCAAGCTGTCTTCTGCCAAGGTTCCAATGGGACGCCGCTGTGTGCGTGGAGAAAATCATCTTCAGAGCGTGCAATACAACAAGAAGGGCCTCATCGAAGCAGGATCCTACATGAAGGACGGCAATCTGATTCGGTTCAAGTATCATTATCGCAAGAACCCTCGGTTTGGAGATGAGCTGCTTCGAGCCGAGTTCGCTCTTTCGCATATCACCTGTACTGTCTCTTGGTGTGCGCCTCCTCTGCGCCATCCCCAGAAGATCGATCGCTGGATCCCTCATTCCAAGGTGACTGAAGCCTCGTTTGTCCAAGGTGCGGACGTCTACGAGTCTCGCTGGCTTTACGATCACAAGTTTCATCCTACGATCTTCACCACCCTCAACGGACAAAAGATACAAACCCCACCCATGATCGAGCATGACTACCTCGCTGTCCTGGCCAAACCCCGATACACCAGCTTTGTGCATGACAACCCTCTCTTGTATTGTGAAAGTCTGAGCTCAAGTATTCTTACCCGGTTCTTTGGTTTGACAACGAAGCGCTTTCCCGTGTCTACTTCTCGTGCACGTTCGTTGATTTGGAAGGCTTGGAAGGACCGCGTGGACTTCGATGGCATTATTGTCCGGTGGATGGATGAACGCCTACTGAGAAGAGACAAGACGCTTGCTCCTTACTGGCGCAGCAGAGATCGCGGTGACCTTGCCTCAGCCAAGAAATATCTGGACCTACGCGCCGATACAATCACAGCTAGTGCTGATCTGGACGACAACATCTCCAGTTGGACTCCCTTGGCTGTCAAGATAAGTGATCTGTTCAACTTCGGACCAGGCGGTGATGCTGTTGTCAACACAAGATCTAAGGACTTTGGCTCTGATACCGAGAAATCACTGCACGTCATGGCTGCGGATAACGGTACCTGGCCAAACGAAGGAGGCGGCGTTTCTGCTTGTCGCCGTGATATGATCAATTCCCTGCGAACGATCAAGTGGCATATGATTTGCGAATCCGCAAACGACTTTGGTGTTCCCAAACATCAAACAGAGCAGAACATTTTGTCACTGAAAGTGGTTCCTCTTTGGGGTCTCGACTTCCTCACGCCCACGCATGGTCTCTTCAAGAACAAGCTTGACTCCGAGGTCGAGAACGTCACTTCCGCCAGCGAGATGGACATCAAAATGAACTTCATCCCTATCTTGACGGCTTTGGTGAAGGGGGCCCGTGCTATCCACCTTTCCAAGGCTGATATCCAGCAGGCAACTAGAGCCTTGGTGAACCTTAATACTTATTTCCAGGACTCGCGTCATTGGACTCAGATCTGGGACAGTGAAATTGTGAAGGAGAGCTGGCGCGATCTCTGGCTGACTCAAGAAATGCCAAACGCAACCCCCTCGTCAGAATGGTACGACACCGAGCTTCCCACCTTGGCAGCTCTCGACATAGCCCTTGAGCTCTGGTATCGCTATCTCTTCATCTTCTCCATTCCAATCCCCGAAAAGATTCCCAATGTTTTCCAGGCATCACATCACAGCGTGAGTGCGTCGTATGGAGTTGTCTGCAAGATCAAGAGAAACTGTACATTGCAAATCTGGGACCATGCCATCAGCTGGCGTGAGACGAACCTCTGTCTTTCTTCTGCCCTCTGCAAGCTTTCGCCTTTTGTTCGCAATGCTCTTCTGGGCTTGATGCGAGTCACATCGGTCCTCACGCTGCACCACGCTGATATCATCCTGCCATGTGCCGACTTCTTCAACCCAGGCTGGGAAGTCGAAATCGGTACCTGTCAAGGAACCATTGAGCATCGCAACGTCTTCCGTCGCAAGGTCGATCCCGTGGTCAACGGTATCACCGACATGCAGAAGTTCGCTCCAGTTAAGGAGATCAAATCGCAGCGCCCTACAGTCACTATGCTGTCCCACGTTTGGTATGCCAAGGATATCAAGACAGCACTTCTTGCCGCGGATATCATCATCAACCAATGGAAGTTCGATGACTACCATCTTGACATTTACGGTGCCATCGACAAGGCCCCAACATACTCTACGGAATGTCAAGAAATCATTGCTTCTAAGGGACTTCGTGGTCGGGTCACTTTGCGTGGTACTGCTGACCCGATGAAGGTGCTGGAGAATACTTGGCTCTTCCTGAATTCGTCTCTATCTGAAGGTTTGCCGCTGGCGCTGGGCGAGGCTGCTCTTACCGGTGCACCCGTCGTCTGTACTGATGTCGGAGCCTCCCTGCGTGTATTGAGTGACCCCGATGACTTCTCCCGCTTCAGCGCCGTTGTTGCACCCAACGATGCCTTGGCTCTCGCCCGCGCGCAGATCACCATGCTTGGACTTCTTGGGGAATGGAGTAAATTTGCCGACGATACCGAGGCACCTCCTGTGTTGACCTCTGCACCTACCCCCGAGGATGTTGCCAAGATCACGCGTCGCATGTACGATAAGAGCGAACACCGCCGCAAGCTGGGTATGATGACTCGCAAGATCGTGCAGAAGTCCTTCAGTGGTGATCGGTACCTGCGTGAGCACGAGCAGATGCTCTGGATCGGAAAGTCCGCTAAGATCATGGCTAGTCGCCCCAACGCCACTCTTAATGAACCGGCCGATGTTGCCACTGCTCTGCAGCAAACTATGCCAATTGATGAGGAAGTTATTACCATCCCACGCAGCGCAGTTAACTCCTGGCGGTCGTCCGCTGCGTCAGGCATGTCAAGCTTCTACAGCTCCGTGTCCAACTTCCCTATGCTGAATGCGAATCAACGCCCGTCGTCCATCCGGTCAAGCCTAAGCAATGCTTCTACCGACGCTAGCTCCTTCCTCCCTCTCCCGAGCAATGCCTCTTTGCCTGTCTTTGCGCCTCGTCAAACCCTCTCTTGGTCTGGGCTCACGGGTAACAAGTCGTCCAACGGTCACCTTTCCCCGACCGGCCGGCTCTCCCCTGTACTCAACCGCAACGGGCATCACTCCCGCACGCACTCACTTTCTACTGCTGGTCGGGAGCAACTGCGTGGACTTCAACGCGAGGACCTACGGCAGTACCGTAACTCGGACGTAAGTTTGGTCATGCGAGACGAGTTTCTTCAATCCAGCTACTTCAGGGGTCTTGACGGTGGCAGCAATGTCTGATTGACAGGTTGTCTCTCTCTCTATTGGTACCGCTGCAGCTCGATCTTATACCCTGTTTGCTTCTGGTTCGATTCATTGTATTTGCCAATATTCGTTGACTTTTTTCGTCATATAAATATCCCTGTTTGTTGTACATATAATCACGTGTCATTGTCTTGTTTACTTTTTTCTTCCCGATATCACTCCCCATACAGCTCTCTTTCTATCTCCAAGAAGACGTTGCGATTCGACCACATATGCTTGTTTGCACACTCTTTCTCCTGGTTGTATAAAAGTCACAGCATTGGGGTAACGATTGGCGGAACTCTACTTTCTTTGATAGACTACAACACTCCAAGAGCGTTGAGAATTATTCAACTGGAAACAAACGAGATCGGATACATCGTAAATAGTATCATAAGTGTATATGAATGAACTATAAGGATTATTCTTGTCTCTATCTGAAGTGTTGTCAAGACATAATAGCACGTGATGCGAGGCCGACGACGTCATTGCCATCAATTGCCTTCCCCGCTCTCCTTGCAACTCAAAGACATCAAACCTCCAAACACGAACCCCTTGGACGAAGTACAAGGGACAAGAAAAGAAATCAGCGCACGATGGCTGCACCCGAGCTTGAGACCTACCCTATCGGCAGCCGCAAAGAATGCGAGCGCCTGGTGCGAGATTGGGGGTTTAACCATGTCTTCACCTGGTCAGATGGGAGGTATGTCTACCACCGACGACAAGACCGAAATGTCAATCTACAATCGCTGACGAAAGTCATCCAGCAATGCGCACTACCCGCCTCATTCGCACGCTGGATTGACGACACATCTGATCCGCCAAGGGAGTCTGACCATCACGTATCCCGAGGATAATGCTGCGATCCATGGAGGAGAGGTCAAGAAGGAGACGTGCGGCGTGGGCGCGAGGTTGGATGTGCCGGCAGGAAAATTACATGAGGTGTGGATTGGTCCAGAGGGATGTGAGTACGTTATTGGAGAATGAAAAGTGAAAGTGAAAGCCATGTTCTACCCTATCGATCGTCTTTTGCAACTTGCGACAACCTGCCACCGACCCGTCGTGTCGGGAGTCACACCGTGATTCTTTCACCGCTACTTTGCTACTTTGCGTGCACCCCCTGCTGGCATGACCTCTACACAGAACTGTCGAGGAATGAGTAAAATTTCAGCAGAACAGACAAGGAGAGATCTTCTGGCTGGATCATATGCAGCAGACAGATCGATCTGGGCAGTCTCCCTGCTGGAAAGACAAGGCTGAAGAAAGCGTCAGTGCTGAAATGCCCCGCACCCGCACTCGAAAGGTATTGTATTGCCTTTCTGGACAGGCAGCCTTGCAGCACTCCAGATGCCTGATTTTCTGCTTCTTTTGCTAATTCGGTTTGTTGGTCAAAGTAGACATCATCATCATAGTCATAGCATAGTTCATCCTCAAAAAACTTGGGTCGAAAAAAAAAAAGAAAAAAGCAAAGGCAGAGCCAGTAGTAGCCTTATAAGGCCAGTCAACAAAGGTTTCGAAGGTTGAAACAATCCCGTCTCCACTTCACGTGGAGAACAAAAAACTCTCTCGGACAACACAAAAAAACATCAAACCGGAACTTTCTTCCACCGGCCTTGCTCCCAGCATCTCCTGCTGCTTGGTTTGTCCTCAGTTGACGATTCCATCCAACTGATACCACTGTCTTGGGCCCCCCGCGTTCTATACACAGCCAGCTATTTTTGGTTCATTCCGAACCCCCCCACCTTTAACCACGGCCCGCAAGCATCACAACCAGTCGGTGTGGACCAGGCTACAATCTAAGCTGGGACAACACAGCAGAAAGACAGGGATGGAGGGGATCACAAAACAGACCAGCAATGTCACTCTGGACGCATTGCAACCCGTGACCAAAGCGCAGACCGGGCCCATCTTTTCACCTCCGGTCCTCACATATCTGGACAAAATCTACAGCTCGTTGACTTCATTGTCCCAGCCAGACTTTGTCACGGAGATTCAACATGAGACTCGCACGCAAGATGCAAGCGGCAACGAAGGCGCGAATCCCCTGGCATCCTTGCCAGCATTCTATGCTTACATGGCTAGTCCCGCGGCCTCTGCATTGAAGCCGGTCGATCGGCCTGATCTCTCGGCTCCAATCACCGACTACTATATCTCCTCCAGTCACAATACGTACCTGACAGGCAACCAGCTTTATAGCGACTCGGATGCGAGTGCCTATTCTGATGTACGTTGCCCCTTTGGCCCCGCCATTCTTCTCGGTTATGTTCAATGGCCAACGGTAAGAGGAGACTTCGCCTCAATACTGTATAAAATATTGGCACGAAGTTACATCTTACGTCGAGCTATCAATGATACTAAGAGACTCTGCCTTAACGCGAAAATAAAAATAGACAGCTGATGCGTCTCAGGTGTTGCTTCGCGGAGGAAGATGTGTCGAGATAGACATCTGGGACGGAAAAGGCAGCTCCGAAAGCTCGCAGGATGAAGACGCCAGTAGCAGCAGTAGCAGCAGCAGTAGTAGCGATGACTCGAGCTCTGATGAAGGCGCTGATAGGCCCCAGATGCCTCGCCGTCGCAAGTCAAAGATGGAGAGACTCAGAAAAGCGACAGAGAGCCACCCGCGTCTTCACGCGATCTCCGAGGAAGTGGGAAAACTGGAGGGCTTCTTGGGCCATCATCGATCGTCGTCTGGAAGTAAACCTCCAACGACGGAAAACCCGCCCGAAGAAACAGCTCAGATTTCTACACGTCCAGAGCCGCGGGTGCTACACGGCCACACCCTCACCAAGGAGGCCAGTTTTCGGGATGTATGCTACGCCATCCGCGATAGCGCGTTTGTGACCAGCGACCTACCGGTGATTGTGAGCCTCGAGGTGCATGCCTGTCATGAACAGCAGCACACTATGGTGGAGATTATGGAAGAGGCGTGGAAGGGGATGTTGATCGAAGTGACGCCGGAGATCGAAGCGACCAAGACACCGCCTCCTCTAGAGAAGCTGAAGCGGAAAATCCTCATCAAGGTGAAATACGTCGCCCCAGACAGCGTGGGCAAGAACGAGGACCCGGAAGAAGAGGAGAAGCAAGTGTATTTGAAGCATGTTCAGACGCTCAGACAGCAAGGCACACCACAAGGCCCCGCGAGCACGTCTTTTGAGACGCCTGAAGCCCCTGCTTCGGCTCCCCACAAACCGTCGAAAATCGTGCATGCTCTGAGCAAGCTGGCTGTTTTCACCAAAGGTTTTCACTTTAAGGACTTTAAGCAGCCAGGTATGTTCAAATCAATTCCGCTGGCTTTCCATGGCTTGTTGCTCACATCCGAAATACCACAGAGGCCAAAGTACCGAGTCACGTCTTCTCGCTCTCGGAGAATGCAGTACGCGAGGCGCATATCAAGGACCCCAATGCGCTATTCGAGCACAACCGCCACTTCTTTATGCGCGTGTACCCCAAGGGGCTACGTCTCGGCTCCTCTAATATGGACCCCGGTTTCTTCTGGCGGCGCGGAGCCCAAATGGTGGCACTGAATTGGCAGAATCTCGACAAGGGAATGATGCTCAATCATGGGATGTTTGCAGGCGAGCACGGCTGGGTGCTCAAGCCCTCAGGGTATCGAAGCTCTGACGCAGACTCGACTATTGTCCAACGACGTCAGCTCAACCTGTCCATTGAATTCATCGCCGGTCAGAACCTGCCACTGCCGCCAGGTCAGACGAGCGGGAAGAAGTTCCATCCCTATGTGTCTTGTATTCTCCATCTTGATACTCCTGACGATGACTCTGGGGACTCCGCGAGCGATGATGAATCAGACTCTGAAAAAGCCGGCTACAAGCGAACCACTAAAAGTGCCACGGGGTCGAATCCAGATTTTGAGGGCCAGAAGATCGAGTTTCCTCCCATACCCAACGTCGTGGAGGATCTCAGCTTTGTCAGGTATGTGCTCTCTGAGAACCGTTCTTCGGACATTGGATGCTGATTATGGGATAGGTTCAAAATCAAGGATGACGAATTCTTCCGTGATTCGCTTGCTGGGTGGGCGTGCATACGACTCAGCAGACTGCAGCGCGGCTACCGGTTTGTTCGTATATATGATCGCGAGGGCGTGGATACTGGGGGTGTTCTGCTGGTCCGGATCACGAAGACCATGACTTGAAAAGATCAGTGTTCTGTCCTCTGGTGTGGAGTTAGGAATGTGAATTGAGTTTATGCCCATGCTCATGCGCTGACAGCAGGTCACACGCAAAGCGCTGCATAGTGTAATTTGAAGAGACACTGTTGATCCGTAAACTTCAGCTTTTCATGAAAGAAAACGGGGTTGGGAGGGGAGGTATATAGCCTTTTGGAGCCTTCTATTCTGCGTAAACTGTGCATTGCGACAATGGTGTTACTTCTCTTAGGCTATGAAATTACTATATATGCTCGTCAATACTTCAAGGCAGTCAGAATATAGGCAGGCGTGATTATCAAAAAGATTCCGAGCAAGAGGAGTGTGTCGTTGCAACCACATCTCAATTATGACGTGGTCCCAGCCGATCGGCTTATCAACCGAGGAGAACATGGAAAAGCCGGGGTAATCTCGGAATGGAAACTCGAAGCGCCGCCGGCAGTCGGGGTGTTTTGTTTCTACCCCGCGCTTAGGCTTACTGGATTCATTACTCCTCCCCATCGGTTCCCTTCTCTGTTTCTATCCTGCACCCGAATCGGTTCAAACCTACACAACTCCTATCTACCCAACGATCAATCCAGATTCTCAGCACCTCAAACAGGCGTTGCTTCCTTACGACCAAGCGACCGTCTCCATGGCAGATGCAGCAGCAGACAAAGTGACACCCACGCCGCCTAAATTTACCAGATGTAGGACCGGATGTTTACGATGCCGCACGCGACGGCGCAAATGTGAGTTGAGTCCCACTTTCTTCCATTGTTCCTTTCCATGCACATACCACTACCACCATCATCATGGAAACCCAAGCAAATATACCCTATTGCAATCGTTTTCGGATTCTCGATGTTTGTCAGAAATTCCTGCTAACAGTTTGTCTCCGGGAACACAAACAGGCGACGAAGGCAAACCACGCTGCCAGAACTGCGTGGACAAGAATTTCGTCTGCAGCTATGGGATGCAAGTCACCTTTCTCTCGAAGAATACGTACACGGTGCCTGCGAAGGAACTACAGACTCCGAGGTCGACGAAGAGACGGTTTCAGACTTTACGGGTGCGTTTAACTTGGGTTCAAGGGCGTTTTGTTGTTGATGTGCTTTCCTCTATCCCGGTTCTTGTATACTGGGGTGTGTTTCTGTTTATGTTGGGAACTCCAACAAAGAGCGTGCGTGTTTACTGATACTTATGTCTTTAGTTCATCGAAGAGGATCCTCTGGCCTTGAATGGGGCAGATGTCAATACTCCTGGTGAGGAAGAAGAGGAGTTGGAGTTGGATTCATCTTCCCTCGGTACCCGGTCGGCGGATTCTCGTCATGAGCAAGCTAAGGAGAAGCAAGAGGGAGGTGGCGTCCAGTTCAATCTAGGTGGAGAAGATGCAAGTCCTCTACGAGTAGAGAGTCCAGCAGATCGCGCCGATGATGGTGGTCGATATCATGAAGACGGGCCCTTGATTGAAGACGAGGTCTTGCTCGGGAGCGGCCACGAGCTCTTTAGTGACAGGGATACATCGGCTGTTCAGGGGCTTCTTGCACTGGGCTCGAGCATGCACGAAAATGAACAGCTTGCGCTGGTTCACGATATCCCATACCTCAAGACACCGGAGCCGATCGCGGGCTCTTCACCCATGATGACTGCTACTTCAGCCAACCAAGCAGACACTGAGGCTTTGGCACGCCGGCGCGAGGATTCTCTCGCTGATGGGATGTCGCGGGTGATTGAGCTGGGCTCATCGCCTCCAGTCATGGTGGATGATGAGCGGAAGTTGGAACTTTTGCGTCATTATCGGTATTTTGTCGCTCCCTGGGTAAATATTTATCCATCTGCTGCTGTCGATCGGTGTAGGCAGAGGCATTTAGTGGCTGACTCCTGAGATGCCACAGCTAGATATCTGCGACCTGAAGCATCCATTTGGGATCATAGTAACTCAAATGGCGACACGCTCTGAGCAGATCTTGTCAGCGTTGTTGACGCTATCGGAAGCGTCTATCATTCACCAGAATCACCAAGAGCCAAATGCACTCCGTCGTGGAAGGCCTTTACTCAGACCTATACACCTTGGGTCTGGGCTTGCTTCTGAATTTACCGAGATGGCGCTTTTATCGATCCTAGAGAGGTTACATTTCTTAGTGTCTGATCTTTCTCACGGTTGGAGCACTCTGCAAAATGACAACCTTTGCTTGCTAGAGCCTCTGCTTGAGCACTCCTTGCTCTTAGATATCGAGTCTTCTATTTATTGGACGTTTCTCAGACTAGGTTGGTCCGATGTTTTTACTTTCCTCGAATTCTGATTTGCCTAATGCTAGATAGACTTGAGTGTAGCGCTCGCGAATGACACGGCCCTTCATATTCCAATTCCCTCCGGCCCCGTGCCAAACCTGGAACTGCTTTCGCGTACCCATGATCCTCATGAAAGAGTCTCACTTTATGCACGTGTCCTTCTTTGGCTCTGTGGAAAAGCCTTGATGGTATGCCATGAACAACCCAGCCCACGCAACTTTCCTGGTTGCCATCAAATTCTAGACAGTTGGCTCCAGGCGTTCGATGAACTCGACCGGTGGTATGCTTCACGGCCGCAAGAGTTCCGGTCATTGGTTGAGCTGGAGGGCAACGACAATATCTCAAATACAGGGAGCGGATTTCCTCTGGTAGTCTTTGCAAATGGGGTGGGCGCATACTGCAACCAGCTCTATCACACCGCCGCGCTCTTGCTCCTGCAATGCAAGCCACGTACCGCGCTTCTCAGCCCCCAGGCTCGATTCCTCTCTCCACTCTGGCATTCTCAGCGAATTTGCGGCATCGCACTAAACAATGACTGCCGTGACTGCTGGGATCCTTGTCTGGTCGCCTCCTTCCTCGTTTCTGCGCGGACTATGACACACGAATCTCAGCAGAAAGCAATCTTGCAGAGTTTCGAGCGAATCTATTCAATCACTGGGTGGCATATAGGCCAGTATCTGAGCGATCTACAGCAGGACTGGTCGTTTCTGGATGGCGTCTGACGTACTTCGCCTCTAGTGTGATGTGCCTGGCAAGTTATCATAAACATGGTGCTCAATCATGCAAATTTTATCGGCAGCCCCAAGCGGTTTCCAAATCGCGGATTCGCCAACATGTTCCCCAGCCAGTTTCAGCCTCGATACCTCGGATCAGACTGATGATCTCTTTGTGTTCCGATCTGTGACTGAAGAGCTGACCTGCAATCCACAATGGCTGGATTGAATTGTTCAGACATCCCTGATGTGGATTGGCCAGCGAGATACCACAAATTCGGCGTGCATGCCATAACGGAAAGAGGGCCGGTGATCGCGGCAGCCGTACAGCTTTCGGCAGCACTTTCAACAGCAATATACATGCTGTGTGGTAAAGTTGATTTGAAGATATTGCAGCCCAGTGGACGAACAAGATATGAGGGAAAGGCTTGCGGCTGACAGTCTGAACTGGAAGCAACTCATCTGGTCGCTCAGACAACCAGCACTGGAGGTCGTTCCAGAGTAGAAGCCAACGGGGCTGAAACTCTTCGGTAGTACAGCCATTATCTTCGCCCAACTCGACGAATTTGGTGCGGTCCGAAACAAGTTGTGTTGCTTTCATACACAGATAGACTGCGTAATTCGCGTGCATGTCCGGTGACTTGACACTCTGGAAAAGTCGATATGCATCCTCATCTTGACAGCCTTGAGGCAGCCACTTGCAAGGATGTAAGAGTGTAGTGTGCGTGCCATCGGATATGAGTGCACCGCAGAGATCTGAAACAAGCCGTTAGGAAGCTTTTCGGCGGAGAATGACTCCTTCTTCACGGAGAGCTGCAGTCACAATAGATAGAGAGACTCACCCATCCTTGCATAACACCAGAAAACCGCCTGTAAAACTCCCTGGCTAAAGCCGTGGATACCAAACGCATTGAATAACGCGGCGCACCCCTCCAGGTGACGGCGCCAATCTTGTGCCCGAGCCGACATCATCTCCAAGCAGCAAAGAAGCACGCAAGCTGCGACAACCTTCGTGTCGCGCACTTGGAGAAGTGGATTCAACCGCCGAATCGCCTCCTGGTACATTTCAAGACTATCATACCAGTTCCGAAGGCCATTTTTGCGTTCGACCTGCCTTGCTGACAGAGCAAGTATGGCATAAGAAAGAGGCGGGAATTCTTGGGCGAGAGCAGGGATCTGATGGCGGAAGGTGCATTGCGAGTCGAACATGTCCAGCTACAGATTTGATCGATACATTATCAGTATGGTCAGCTCTAAGATACGCTAATGCGCGTGATCAAGGGGGAAAAAGATCGGCATACCCATGGCGCCACTTCAGTAACATAATTCTTGAGGTACTGAATATGCCTCCCCTCAGACAATGGGGCATGTCTTGAATCCCTACTGTCCTTCTGTAGGGGTTGGGACAATTGTTCCAGTTGCTTGTCCCCACTTCCGGCCGCGTCTGGGCTTGATGCCCGGGTCGGAACCGCCGAATTTGCCAGGGAAAAAAGGAAGCATCGCAGTTCTTCCTGGGACGCCAGAAAGTCCGGGTCTTGTGAGAAGCCATCTTGCGTCCAGCTGCCAGCCGCCGGCGATTGGAATGAGCCGCATTCACCCCCCGAATTGGGAGAACTGTGCAGATTGGCGCCGTTAAGGTTGCATGGTGGATCGTTGAGATTGCGAGCACTCAAGGGGCCGAGACCGATCTCTATCTCTGGTGGCTGGGATTGCTTATGCTGAGCATCATTGAGACGCTGCCGCTTTGGGGGAGGCTCAATGACCTGGTGGTCCGGCATGGGTCGCTTGTCCATCCTTTCCTTGGTTTCCTTGGTTCGGAACCGATTTTCTAATCTAGATTATGCTAGACAAGCGATAAGGGATGTAACAAGAGACGAGGAAGGCTGCTGCTGCTGCTGCTGCTGCTACTTCTGAGTTGGTGGCCAAGTGCGACGCAACATGAGAGGGGTGCGCTCTCTTCCTTGGTAGAGAGCCGATTTCGAAAGGGCCACCTCGGCTCTAGTGCGATCGACAGCGCGGGGTATGGAAACCTGTTGTTCGTGACTTCACTTTCCCCAGATTGTCAGACATCCACCAATTGTCTCGTTCTTTTCATCTGGAACTGGTCCTCCGCAAGGTAACAGAGGCAGGAACATCAGCCAAAGCGCAGATCCCCCATAGGCTGTTGTGGGTTGGATTTAGTCCGATTGCGGGGTTGAAGCAGCACTTTGGGGTAACA